GAAACCCCTTAATGTATATTGATGACTTTGAAAGATGCATTTATTTTATAATCTATAGGATGCTATGCAATATGCTGCAGATTCTGGAGAGCGTGAGGCCGCAGAAGATCTTCTTCGTTGGTTCCTTTCCCAAGGCCTCCCTGATTGCTTTGCTGCTTGCCTCTACCAATGCTACGACCTCCTTCGGCCTGATGTTGTCCTCGAGTTAGCCTGGCGTCATGGCCTTACTGATATGGCGATGCCTTTCCTTATCCAATCAATGCGAGAACTCACGACTAAGGTGATTTTTGTTTGAAAAGCCTCTTGTATTTATTTAATGCCTATAAAATAACATTATTAAGTGTTTCTAATTTTTAGGTCGACTACCTGGATAGGTCTGAAAAGGATAGGACTGAACAAGAGGAAAAGCAGGAGAATGCAGTTAATCCTTTAGTAATGCGTGAGTTAAATCTGTTTTCCATTGGAGGTCAAGCTCCAGCAAATTACATGATTTATCGCTCTGCCACGTTTTAATCTTCATATTTTGTGTGAATTAATATAACATTCAGTCAATCGAATATATTCAACTTGATAATTTTGGTTTTTGGATAAACTTATGAGTAACATTGGGATGTTTGCATTTTTAAGATTAAGTTAAATTACTTAGACAGAAGTAATCATGTTAGGTCCAGAGTCGTCTTAATTTCATCCTAGGGAAACGCCTCATCGCCTATCTGTATCTAGTAAATTCCAAATGCCAATGTTAATTTGTTATTCCTAGAGCTAAAATTATATTCCCCTCTGACCATTTTCTTTTCGCCACTAGGTGAGCCACAACTTATGCTTCCTGCACCAACCGCTGTTATTCCTCCTCAACTTTTGGGCGGCCCCTCTGCAGCTGCCCTCTACAGTATTGGCATGGCACCAAACTTTTATCCTGCCAATGGACCCTCATATTAGACGAATACAACTGTGTTAAGAGACCTTATTTCTTTGTTTTTTAACTTTTTATCAATTTCTCCATTGGAATTATGATGGCAGCACGGCTTTTTTTATTTTTGAAATCTTCGTATCTATACGGCATATCCTTGGACTGTTGAGTTTATTATATCTTAAGTACCGGATGCTTTTTAGGAAAAGATGCTTATCTCATTTAAATAGCCAAAAATCTCTAACTTGAAAAAATGATTACTTTTAATTTTCAGTCGACAAAACGCTTTTTATCTTGATTTAGTATACCTCTTTTTCCATACTTGTAATTGGTCATTGAACAAAGTATACAGACGAATTCTTAACAAACAAGTGCAAATGAATCTAGTCATGGAAAGGAGCATTTCGTCGTCCGAATTTTTTTCTTGCATCGAAAAAAAGAGGTAACCGAAATTCTTGCTTAGGGGATTTTGGCTAACTAAATTGGATAATCACTTCACACGTCCTGGTAATCTAACCACCTAGCAAACTCATCAGTCCAAGTAATCACCTAAATACATTAATTAAAGAAAACAGACCTCGTCATTATTATTCCTTGTGATGCAGTCGTTGGTTTGATAGGTTACAAAAACAAAAACGAAATCAGGACTCTATATATATATATATATACTTTTCAATTTATTACATTCGCACATAGATAGTCAGACAAATTCTAAAGGTCAACATTCAGGCATATACCTCTGAATATTTCGTCTCCGAAAAGCATTGGTGTAATACAAAGGCAAAAAACAATAATGTGGCACTCCGCTTACCACGTTAGTATGCTATTTACATTACATATGTGGCGCCAACCATGCACCTTCACTCTCTTTGTCTATTCACTTCAGACAATAATCCGAATTTGATTATAAATATAACCAATATAACCCACTTTTATTACGGCTTGGATATGTTATTTTGTTTTTATCACTGGCCGGATAGAGGATTTGAATACAGTATTTATGACTCGACACTTGCTTTGGAGAATTACTTTTGTATCCTGCTACTGAAACCAAATTTCTTTATTTTGCCAAATTAATCGGCTACTCATCGGCCAAAGAAATAGCACTTGTATTTATTCACAAATACATGATGAATAAAGAGAGGATAATACGAGCGAGCAATTAAAACTTTATCTTTAATGCTGCAAGTCAATGTCGACCCGTTTCCTATTTGTGGACTCGCTTGAGGTGAGGAGGAAGGACATGAGCGAGGGCACTGGGTGGCTGTGCTGCGCTTATTTCGGTCTGAAAAGTCAGACAGTCGATCTTTAGATGGCTTATTATTATGCTGGGTGATCTCATTCTTATGTTAAAGCATCAACTGATGTTGCTAAGATGCAGATACACGATGCACAGACCGCTTAGGGTTCTACTATTTGGTACTGTCCTGCAGTTCTCTTTTGGATTCAAGATGAGGTGAAATTGAATGCAAAGATCGAGCCTGATCTTGATATACAGTCGCCCAGATTACTATACTGAGGGACTACATACTTTATTCATAAGGTTGATCATATTGAGATATCTAGTTGGGTTCCAGACAGGGACGGAAAATGAATGCCTTTAACTGTTGCCAGTATCGCCGTTAAAACTTTTCAAATATAGTCTTGTTTAAATGGAATGGATCAGCTGATGCCACACTAAAACCTCATTAATGTATTTTCCGTATTAAGTAGAGTTTCGCGACTACTAGTAAATCAGTAATATGAGATATATCCACCCTATTTCGTTATATGAAGGACTGGTAGTAGAATTTTCCAACAATCATG